GGATAAGGAGGAGGAGGAGGAGGAGGAGGAGGAGGAGGATCATGAGGAGGAGGAGGAGGAGGCGGAGGAGGAGGAGGAGGAGGAGGAGGAATGGGGAGGCGGAGGAGGAGGTGGATGATGATGATGATGATGATGATGATGATGATGATGATGATGATGATGATGATGATGATGATGATGATGATGATGATGCTGATGCTGATGATGATGATGATGATGATGGCTGCTGCTGCTGATGATGATGATGATGATGATGATGATAATGATGACGATGATGATGATGAGGAGGAGGAGGAGGGACAGGAGGAGGATGAGGGCGATGATGATGATGATGCTGATGATGACGGCGAGCAGCCGGAGGAGGAATCTGATGATGATGATGATAATGATGATGCTGCTGATGATGATGATGATGATACTGAGGATGCTGCTGCTGATGATGATACTGATGATGATGAAGATGATGGTAGTGATGCTGCTGATCATGATGATGCTGATGCTGATGCTGATGATGCTGATGATGATGGTGATGCTGATGCTGCTGATGCTGCTGCTGCTGATGATGATGATGATGATGATGATGATGATGATGATGATGATGAGAATGATGCGGATGATGCTGATGCTGATGACGATGATGCTGATGCTGATAATGATGAGGAGGAGGAGGAAGAGGAGGAGGAGGAGGAGGAAGAGGAGCAGGAGGAGGAGCAGGAGCAGGAGCAAGAGCAGGAGCAGGAGGAGGAGGAGCAGGAGCAGGAGCCGGAGCATGAGCAGGAGCAGGAGCAGGAGCAGGAGCAGGAGCAGGAGGAGCAGGAGCAGGAACATGAGCAGGAGCAGGAGCACGAGCAGGAGCAGGAGCAGGAGCAGGAGGAGGAGGATGAGGAGGAGGAGGAGGAGGCGGAGGAGGAAAAGGAGGAGGATGAGGAGGAGGAAAACTACTAATAATAAGAAGATAAAGAAGACCAATAATGGTAAGAAGAATAATCATGCACATCTCATGAGTAGTAATAACAATAAGAATAATAATACACAGCAGACGAGTCATACGACTAAGAATGATACGGATACCAGTAAGACGGATAATCATAACAACAATGATAATACTAAGACGAATACGAATCATACTAAGACGGCTAAGACGACTAGTACCAATAATCAGAATATTAAGAATAATACTCGTACGACGACTAAGAATGATACGAACAGAACTATTACTAATAAGAAGAGGAATGCTATTATTAAGGGAAATACGTCTAATACTTATAAGACATAATCACAATACTAATAAGGCTACGACTAAGACGACTAATGTTAATACGACTAAGTGTACTAATACGACTAAGACGGAACTAGTGATACTACTCACAGTGACACTATACGAATGGTAAGACTAAGTATAATACTGTTAACGTGGATGAGACTTACAAGAAGAAACAACATACCAATACCATTACGAAAGAAATAACATGAGACTATTACGAATATGAAGAAGAGTGCTAGTCACACTAAAACTACCAAATATTACGAACAATAGAAATTGGAATACTACTTATACTAATACTACGAAACATGATAATACTCACGATGCTACTAATAATTGGAATAGTATGCATAGTGCGAGGACGGGTAATAATAACCATACTACGAACATGAGTAATATTAGTTATACTACTCGTATTAATGCTCATACTAATGCAAAAGTAATACTAATACTAATAGCAATGATTTTCTTACTTTGAGTTTGAATACTCATCATCAGGGTAAGAAGGGCATTAATAGTGTAGACAATAAGAATGCTACTAGCAAGAACGATACTATTAAGAAGAGGAGGATGAGGAGGAGGAGGCTGAGGAGGAGGAGGTGTTGGAGGAAGAGGAGGAGGAGGAGGAGGAGGGGGGGGAGGAGGAGGAGGAGGAGGAGGGAGGGGAGGAGGAGAGGAGGAGGAGGAGGAGGAGGAGAGAGGACGGAGGAGGAGGAGGAAAGGAGGAGGAGGAGGAGGAGGAGGAGTAGGAGGAGGAGGAGGAGGAGGAGGGGGGAGGAGGAGGAGGAGGAGGAGTAGGCGGAGGAGGAGGAGGCGGAGGAGGAGGAGGAGGACGAGGAGGAGGAGAAGGAGGAGGAGGAGGAGGAGGAGGAGGAGGAGGAGGAAACGCGAGTTTCGACCAGATTTGGGCCCCAGAACCTGGGAAATATTTACAACGAAAGTGCGCGGCGCTATGGCGAGAGCCACATAGTGAAAACGAACCTCCCTTAATCCGTGAAGCTCTTGCTAACTTTTACAGCGACTGTTCGTTGCGCTAACGGGAGAGCCACATTTTGAAAACCGCCCGCCCTCCATTTGTGATGCTGGTGCTAGTCTTTAAGCTCCAGGGTCATAAAGGGTGAGGAAGTCTCAGGCGAAACGCCCGGCCCGCGCTTTCGACCGGCCTCGGGGTGCGACAGGGAGATGTTATTCTGTAAGGAAAGGGAATGGGGGAGGCGGAAAGGGAGGTCTCTGGGAGCCCGCTCCGAGGGCCGCCCCCCGCGCGCACCGCTTTCCCCGTGTTTCCAAGTGGGCGTCGAGACCTCCTTCAGATGGAGCCCTGGGCTGAGGTATCATGGCCGAAGCTCCGAGAGCTTCTCACCCTGATGCCCCTTGCATGGCAGATCCCGATGCCAAACACGTTGGTGGGTGGGTGGGCTACGGTCGGACCGATGTATATGATCCAGGTCGACTCGTGGAGGGTACCTTAGTGTTCTTCGTGCTTGTCGTATGTTCTTGTACATCTTGGGGAAGGGCACCCTCGGTGATCTTGTGGTTTGGGGTGTTTTGGCCGCTGGAGGGTCTCATGCTCTTGGCAGATGTTCTTCTGTCCTTGGTCCGACTGTACGTAACGGATAATGTAGCAGAGAGATTGCCAGTGCAAGTTTGGTTGCAGCGCAGTTTGGAACTCAGCAGCATTACCCCTCGTTCCCCGAGCTCTGGAGTGCGATTCTGAATGCTTGGGAGCCCGACGCGCTGACTGAGCCCTTTCTCGGCAGGAAATTGACCGTAGATGCATCTCTTTCTGGTGTGCAGAGGGCCCTTGTCGCCCACAGAGTTGTTTTGTTGAAATTATGTCGATTTTCTGAAACAGGTTACTCCAGGGGAGTTGGATCCCATGCCAGAGCTGCGAGATCGCAGCTCGTGCTGCAGTTGTATGAGCCAGTGGTGCATTTTCGCACTTACCCCGAGCTGCGTGCTAGAAGGTGGGAAAAGCAGGAGGAGGAGGAGGAGGAGGAGGAGGAGGAGGAGGAGGAGGAGGAGGAGGAGGAGGAGGAGGAGGAGGAGGTCCGTAGCCATTTTGGCTCAAGCCGTCCGCGCGAGGCCCCTGGCTCGAGCGTGCTAGCGCATGTTTCCTGCCTCCGCGGTGTCTGCACGGGCTTGTTCTGGCGCGGGGGGGCATGGGAGATGCATGCCCAGTTTCACAAATTTCACCACGTCGATCTGCCGCTGAACGACGCGCTCGCCGGGAATGGGCCCGCCTTTCGGCGGATCGGGCAGATCATCGGCTTTCAGAGGAGTTGCACCAGCTCCAGGCCAAATACGGTGAGCTCCTCCAGTCTTTCGTGGCCCTTTTCGGCGACCCAGGTCTTGCAGATCGAGTTCTTGCAGTGGTACCAGCTCTTACGGACCTCTTGCAAGGACGACTTCCTGAGCAGTCGGTGATTCTTCGCCGCAACGTAGCCATGCATGCTTCAGCCCCCCCTGGGCTATGGATTTCTTTAGCGTCGACCAGGGAGCTCAGGAAACTGCAAAAAGGGGCCAGGCTTCCAGACAAGTTGGCTAAGGCTCCCGACGCTGCCCCTTGCGCCCCGCAGGCGACGAACGTCCAGCAGGTGGAGCATCTGGGCGGGCTTGGGAGCTGGGAGCCGTGTGGCGCTGCCATTTATTACAGGGCAGAGCCTGGCCCCCACCCCACGGCAGGGGATAGAAAGGCAGACGCGGCTGGTGGTGAAGCTAATTTTCAAGCGCGGCAGGGAGTTAGCCAGTGTGCGGACGTGGCGGGTGCGGCCCCTTCGGAGCCTGGTCTTTCTGTTGCGGCCGTCGAGGTGGAGTCGGAAGTCTCACAGGAGGAAGCCAGCACCAATCTTCGGAGAACTTGCGCGGGGGGGCATGAGTTGGGCGGAGAAGAGGCCAGTGACCAGGAGGACGCTGAGATCGATCCCTTCAGAGTTCCCATCGGATGCTCGGAGTGTTCCAACATCTTCAGGAGTGGCATGCTTCGTTTCCTTTGTAGCGATTTCGACTGCGATGACATGTTCTGTGAGAATTGTGTTCATCCGCAGCTTCGACGGCCAGTTTGAGGTTTTCAGCTCGGATCTGGCTGGGTATTTTCTTTCATTGTTGCGCTCTCTTGCGTTCGTCCCTCAGGTTTCGTTGCGTGGTGTGCGTCATCCGTATTTGAAATTGTGGGCTTGCGTGGAGGTGGGTGGGGCTTTGCACGAGGATTTCGGCCAGTCCTTCGGGTTGCTGGACTGAGTTTTCGGGGCTCCGCCATGTGGATTCCGCCCCTCAGTTAGGTAAGAGGTAAGAGGAGGAGGAGGAGGAGGAGGAGGAGGAGGAGGAGGAGGAGGAGGAGGAGGAGGAGGAGGAGGAGGAGGAGGAGGAGGAGGGAGGAGGAGGAGGAGGAGGAGGAGGAGGAGGAGGAGGAGGGAGGAGGAGGAGGAGGAGGAGGAGGAGGAGAGGAGGAGGAGGAGGAGGAGGAGGAGGAGGAGGAGGAGGAGGAGGAGGAGGAGGAGGAGGGAGGAGGAGGAGGAGGAGGAGGAGGAGGAGGAGGAGGAGGAGGAGGAGGAGGAGGAGGAGGAGGAGGAGGAGGAGGAGGAGGAGGAGGAGGAGGAGGAGGAGGAGGAGGAGGGAGGAGGAGGAGAGGAGAGGAGGAGGAAGAGAGGAGGAGGAGGAGGAGGAGGAGGAGGAGGAGGAGGAGGAGGAGGAGGAGGAGGAGGAGGAGGAGGGAGGAGGAGGAGGGGGAGGATGAGGAGGAGAGGGAGGAGGAGATGGAGGAGGAGGAGGAGGAGGAGGAGGAGGACGTGGGAGAGGAGGAGGGGGAGCAGGAGGAGGAGGAGGAGGAGAAGGAGGATGATGATGATGATGATGATGATGAGGAGGAGGAGGAGGAGGAGAGGCAGGACCTCTCCCTCCACTCCCCCCACTTCCTTCCTCCTCCCTATTCCTTAGTCTCTTGCTTCCTCAGAAGAGTTATATGTTGATTCGTGTAATGCTGGAAGAACAAGACATGCTACTCAGAGGATCGATGAAGAACCGACCGCGACGGCTGCTGCCCCGTCCTGCTCTCGTCTGTTGTTTTTCTCGCTCCACTCATTGTCCTCTCTTTCCTCATGTGGGGCGCTCCAGAAAGGCCTCGTCTTCGATGGGGTCGAGCAGTTGGCATGCCTTTTTCGGTGGAAGTCGTCAGACGGCGGCGAAAATAAAGCGAGGGCGGCTCCGCAGGCAGAATCCGTCGGAAGGTCGGCAGAAGCTGGCGGAAGCAAAAGATGCGCCCCTGGATAAGCTGACTTTTGTGGTGGATCTGGGGTTCGGGAGTTGGATGTGTGACCCACAGGTGAGCCACGAGAAGGCCGATGGTCGGACGTCATCTGTGGAGACTTTTCGCTTCGGCCTCGCACCTCGGGGCGGATTCCCATGGCTCCGTCTCTGCCCTGCGGCTCCGTGTCTCGTGGAGGAGGGAGGCCCAAGACCGCCCATGAGGCCCCCCAAATGGCCCAAGAGGGTTCTAAGAGGGCCCCTAGAGGGCCCCAAGAGGGGGTAATCGAACCGATATTCTGCGCCCTCCGCCCCGAGAAGACTCGCGCGATCGCCAGCAGGCCCCCGAGACGCCCCCAACAAACCCCAGGAGGCCACCAAGGGGCCCGAATCAGGCCCCAGGAGGCCTCCAAGATGCTCCGAAAGGCCCCAAGTCCCCAAGCATTGCCTCCAACAAGCTTTGTGTGGCCTGGTCTCGGCGCAGGCTGTTTCGGTCCGAGGGCGATGCGGGCCGGGGCTCAGCGCTTCCAGGGGCACTCGGGCGACCTGTCCGAGGAGATGGTTGCGGCTCTCGAGGTCGGATGGCGCCCAGCTTTGCACCTGCACCGGCCCCTGGCCAGGTCAGCCTGGGCCCCTGCGGGAGCGTGGCCCCCCCGCGGCCTGGGACGGGCTTGGCTGGGGTGGGTGCAGATGTACGACCCGACGCGCTCCCGCAGGCCAAGGTCGCGGAAGTGGACGGCGACGGCGGCGGCTCGATCACCGAGGACGTACTCGCGAGGCTTCGCGGCGCGAGGCCTTTTGCCGACTTCCCTGGCGACTCGCCGAAGGGAACTGCCCAGAAGAGCCCGCCTCGCGCTCCTCGTGTGCACGCGGTGCCAATGGCCGTGGCACCTCCGCCACCGGCCGAGGAGTTCGCTGCCATGATGGAGACTGCCGGTCACCACCTCTTTGAGCTCCCAGCGGCACCGTCGCTGCTGCCGCCGCTGCTGCAGTGCCAGGGCACCCCGCGCGCCACGTGGGGTTGGGCCCAGATCGCGTCGACCACAGGGTCGTTGGCCAGCGTGACCTCCGAGGTGCACGGGGCGCGAGTGCAGACAGGTTGCAAGGCCCACAGTAAGGGAGCGCGGGTTTTGAAGTGCTGACCGTGCACAGCGGTTTCTGCGGGCTCGGCGAGCGGCTGCTGGCTTGAGCCATCACGTAACGCCAGCTCCACGACGCGGCTGGTCGCTCCTCTTGCACAGGCTGCCTCTTGCGACCTCCCTGAGCGTCACTGACAATATCCATTGCCTTCGGCAAACCAAGGCCCCTTGCAGGGTCCATTTCGATCCGATCGATCGGATTTATGGCCGATTTCGGCCGGCCCGATCCGGTTCGATTTCGGCTTTCCGTCGATCCGACGCGGCTCGATTCTTCCGTATTCTTGCGTGATGCTGTTGTGCATCCTGGCGCAGCCGATCCGATTCGACTTTGGCTCTGTGACGATGGCGCCCGATCCGACGCACATTTCGATTGAGTTCAGGTGTGAATCCAAATTTCAGCCAGCAGACCGATCCAGCTTGTCTCGAACTGCTGCCTGGCTCAGGATTCCTAGAACCTCTTTGAGCCCTAAACTCTTCCCCGATGGGCATGACAGAGTCTACGAACTCAGAGCGATATACTAGGGACAACCTGTGTCGAAATTCCGCCACCGTCTCGGCATAGAATTGCTTGTTGGAGCATAAAAAACGCATGTAGCCCAGTCTCGCTTTGGGCCACTGGTACAGGCAGGGCTTCGGGTGCGCACTATCTAGTCCCAAGGGGATCGCGAGGGAAGTGGGCTTGAAGCGAGGCTTCGTGGCGACTTTGCCGTCCACTTTACTCACATGCAGTTCCAACCACTCCACCTCATCGCTCGGCGGCGCTTCGACCTCCAAGCGAAAATATCCAGCGCGGGCTCGGAGCTCCCGCACTACAGATCCCCCTGCGCGGGCCCCCCGAATTATCATAAGAGCATCGTCTTAGAACCTAAGATACCGAGGAACCGATTGGCTACTAACCCTAGTGAAAACCCAGATTTCGATTCTGTTCAGTAGGGCCAGGTCTGCGACCTCACCGCTGTGTGGAAGGCCCATCCCTGTCCCAAACAATACTTTGTACAATCTATCGGGTACGGCACTCGAGAACATGTACTGGTTGTCCAAAAGGAAGAACATAACTCGTTGCACTAGGTGTTTTTCTTGCCCCTCAGAGCTGATCCCAACATCCTCCACAAGTTGGTGAACGCTCCCAGACATGAAAAAAAATCCGCACATCCGTCGTAACAAATCTGTCCTCCGGCATCATTGGGAAATCCATCAGTCGCTTCGCTGCCTCACGAGAGTCTTTGACTACATGCCGATGCTGCCGAATCTTCTCGCGAAGCGTCCTGGCCAACCAATGGCTCAATCCTGCGAAACAGTACCTCCCCGCAGCATGCACATTCCTGAAGGTTATGGGTCCTGGGTGTTTATGGGATTCGCATGTTTTGATAAGTCGCAATTCATAGGAATGCCCCGGGGCACCCAAAGAGCGCATGATATCCCGATATCCCGATGCTGTTGTGCATCCTGGCGCAGCCGATCCGATTCGACTTTGGCTCTGTGACGATGGCGCCCGATCCGACGCACATTTCGATTGGAGCTGGTTTCCTGACTCGATGCTGACTGATCCTGCCTGGTGGTGCGATGTCTCAGGCTCGGCAGGACCATCGTGGGGCCGCTTTGGAGGCATCGGTGCGGTGGTGTAGCGTGGCGCAGCCATTTCGTCGCATGGCTGTTGTGCTGCCTCTTGGGGGCTTCTTGGAGGTGTCTTGTCGGGGAACAGGCAATCACATACACATGAACTTTTGCAGGTCCGCGCGGATTTCTCGGATCCGCGCTGAAACCCCCTCCCTGGCCATTGTTTGTTCCCCTATCCCGGGAGGTTTCTTCGGGGTCTCTTGGGGGCCTCCTGGGGCCTTCTCGGGCTTCTCCTTGTCGGGGAAGCGGGAGTCTCGAGTTCGCTGGACCTCGGGCTTGCAGACGCTTTTTCTGGGGCCCGCACTGAATTTTGACGGTCTCTTTTTTGTGGGATGCTTGCAGCGGGAGCTCGCATCACATTCCTTTTTGGGTCTCGTCATTTTTCTAACGGCCCCGTCCGGTCAACTCGAGTCATCCAAACTTGAGCCTTACGTCTCCCTGATCTTAGGGGCTTCTGGAGGGCCCTCGTGGTCGCGGGGTTGTCAGGGGCGCAATGGTTCCACCAAAGCTCTCCAGAAGAGGTTTGGTCGAACCCTCTTGAGGCCGTCGGGTCAAGTTCTGGGCCGCCCAGTGGCCCCCTTGGGACGGTTTCGGATGATCTGGAGGCCGTCATGGGGCCATCTTGGGTCCTGCTGGGCCAGTCTTGGGGCTCTCAGACGCCTTCCGCAGGTTCTCTCCAGTGAATGGCTTCGGAAGCGAATCACGCAGAGAGTCACACTGGTCTTTCGATTTGTTTCTGGCCTCCCAGCGTCTTTTTGGATGGATCCTTTGGTGCCTCGTGGAGGGAACATCTTGGGGCCTCTGGAGGGCTCGTTGAGCCGTGTTGGGATGGCCGCGGGGCATCTTGCAGTTGTCTTTGGGCGGTTTGGGTGCGCCTCGGAGCCGTCTTGGCGCCGAGAGGAGCGCCAATAACCAAAACGTATGGGATGTCGCCTGAGGGGCAACGTTAGAGGGGTGTAGGCAGGTGGGGGTCGAGGTTCGAGGATCGAGAATCGAGAATCAAGGTGCGTAAGGGTAAGACTACTCGAGGATCGAGGAGCGAGGATCGAGAACCCAGGATCGAGGATCGAGAATTGTGGGAGGATGTCCTCCCCCCACAGGGGGGGGGAGCTAGGGAGGCTGCTCGCCCACTGGGTCAAGAGGGGCGGAGAAATCGAGTTCTAGACACCTCCAGCTGTATGACCGCTGGTGATACCGATGCTGCTGCCCTGCATTGATCCACGCAGGAAGAAACCAAGACCCCCGACGATCTGTTTTTTTTTGACAGGCGTCTTTCCTCGATTCGCCCCCTCCCGCCCCCCCCAAGGCCCGTTATATTGGGCCCAGGGGCCAGCAGAAATGGATCCGGGCCGCGCCCGGGACACATCGCATCGGATGACGTGTAGGAAGGGTGGTGGTCGTCGCCCCTTGAGAACCACAGGCGCCTCACCAGACAGTCAACAGGCAGTCCAGCGAGGGCACTGCGGCGGACCACGTTAGGCTTCTCGGGCCCGCGACCTCTGGTCCAAGTTCCGAGGTCGTTGTGTGTTCGGCGGCGCGCCCCGGGGGGAGGTGAGAGGGGGCTGGCCTTCTCCGAGGGCGGCGGGGCTTCTCAGTTGCCCCCGCGCCTCCGACGAGCCTTGCAAGCCTTCTCCGAAGCCGCAGGCGGCTTCTCGGAAGAGGCGAGGGCTTCTGAGAAGCCCCGCCGCTCTCGGAGAAGGCCTGCCCCCCTATCACTTCCCCCCGGGGCGCGCCTCCAAGTCTCGACGCCTTTTTTTGCAGGTTTTCGAGATCTCCTGCACGTCCTGGTGGGTTCCCCAGGTGGTCCCTGGCGCGGCCAAGTTCCTCGCGTAAGGGGGCCGCCTGCCTACGCCAGTCTCCATATGCCTGGCTCCTTGCCGTCGCAAATCTGTCCTCCTTCCTCCCGCGGTCCTTTGTCTCGGCTAGGCTGATTCTATAGTTTAGGCAGTAGGCTGGAACTCATCATCACCGGTACTCCATGCCAGGGCTGTGGGCTGAGGGCCTCTGCATAGCATGCTCAGTTAGCGCGAGGTCTTCTGTTTCGTCTAGACCGATCCAGCCAGCACGGCAGGAGTTCTGGCTCCTACCCCTCCTCTTCCTCCTCACCTTCCCCCCCCCTTCCCCCCTCCACCCTCCTCTTGCACCGTGGCGGGTCGACGAGGCCGCCTACCCGAGCTCGGGCTTCACGCGGCGCGGTCGCTTGAGCCCCTTCTTGTTGCAGCATCCCGTAACTTTGAACTTTTAGTTATTGCCGCGCCAGTCAATGCGGTCCGCAAATTCTACGGTATGTGAAGCCGCCGCTATGCGCACTGGCACGCGCGAGGAGGGAGTTGGATGGTCGTTGTCTGCCGGGTGGGCTTGCACTCACTCTGGCGCGAAGTGAATTGCCACCAGCAGCTGCAGTGCCACGACCTATTGGATGTAGCCTTTCCCGCCACACTACTGGGTCGTAAGGGGGACTCGCAGCTTACTTTGACGCCATGCTCGCAATCTTTTGCCGCATGTCGATCACGCTTGCGGTCTGGATAAACGGCGGCGTGCAGAATGGAAGGGAGTGTTGGGGGGGCAGTCATGTCAGAAGGCCCCAATCTCTTAGAAGGGGTGGGGCACATGGTCCGCACGAGGTCGATCCCTTCTTAGAAGCCCACTAGCCCTCGAAGGAGGGCCCCCTCATGCTATCTTCTCTTGCTCGCTGCCAGAAGCAAATTCGCATGGGGATTGCCCACTGCACACGAGCCTCATGCCACGCTACCACGGGCGGTCTTCACCACGCCCGTGTGGGCGAGTGGGGTCAGCAGCGACGTGACGGATCGGTGGCTCACGGAGTACAAGGAGGAGGAAGCGGAGGAGGAGGAGGAGGAGGAGGACTAGGAGGAGCACGGGAAGGAACGGATGAGGATGATGAGGAGAAGGATGATGAAGGGGATGATGATGAGGAGGAGGAGGATGAGGGATGGAAGGGAGATGCTGTCGATCATGGTGGTGATTGGGGTGATGTTGATGGTGATGAGGATGGTGATGATGCTGATGATGAGGATGATGATCGTGATTTTGACGGTGCTGATGATGGTGATGATGGTGATGCTGTTGCTGCTGATGATGCTGATGACGAGGATGGTGAAGACGATGAAGGCGATGCTGATGATGCAGACGATGCAATTGACGATGACTTTGGTGGTCGTGATAGTAGTTGCGATGACGATGCTGATGATGCTGACGATGATGATGCTGCTGCTGATGTTGATGTTGATGGCGATGCTCATGATGACGATGATGACGATGCTGAGGTTGCTGATAATGGTGATGCTACTGAGGATGATGATGACGGTGATGCTGATGGTGCTGATGATTAGTGTGATGGTGCTGTTGATGCTGATGTTGCTGCT